CTTATTCTGTAAATTCATTGATTGGAATATGAATGCTAATGGAAGTATGAATATTTTCACAGGACAATGATATAAATGGAACTTTAACACTTTTTTAAGTGTTACAGTGATATTTCGTTGGCCTCCGTATTAGCGCATTGCGCCGAACGCGGATAGCATGATGTTGTAGTCGCAAAGGAGAAATTGAATCGAATAGACTTATTGTACCGTAGCGCATCGTATTGTATTTTAAACATTTATATCATTATAATTTATATGTATATATGTATATTGCAATAAACATACGTCAGGTAATATAAGCTTCATTTCATCGAATTGTCTTAAATATAGCTGCATAAATATTATACAATCCTATACTAATTATAGTTGTCTGGTTTAACAGGTTACTACAGAAACTGACTACTGCCTACGTCCTTTAAACTTGGGCTGTAGTAGTATCTGCAGAAACTGCCATGGTTGCTGGGGTTACTATATAATTTGCTCACGGGAACGCGTATGGTTTAAAAGACGTAGGCAGTAGTTAGTTTCTGTAGTAAGCTAGAGACCCCGTCTGGTGAGAACGTGGGGTCACATAACCCCCACAGGTGGCGCCAGAGACCCCGTGTGTTGAGAACGTGGGGTCATGGAGCCCCCGGGCATACGTAAGAGACTCCGTGTATAAATGATGTACATACATATTTATTTATCATGTATTCTTATAATACGTATATCGTATATTGTTTATACATACGTTTATGTTTATGTTTTATATTTTATAGTAAATATTTAAATAAATATATAAAGTACAGTATTGTATTTTATTCTCTCTTAATGCATAAACAACGTTTATGTTGGGTATCAAGGTTAGGAAAATAAAATTCGATACAAGTAGGTATCGATACTTTTGTTTCGATACCGGTAAATATCGATACCTTCATACCAAAGTAGTTATGAGTGAAAGTATCGATACCGAGCAAGTATCATTCTACTCTAGCTCACTGCGCCGAATGCGGATAGCATGATGTTGTAGTCACAAGGGAGCAATTGAATCAAATAGACAATGGTATTTGTGTAGATTTAACAATTGACTTAAGTACTACTTATATATGTATGCACATTCCTAACACTGAGTCGCGGCGTGTTCTAATGTATCCGTTCTTCTCTTAGCACAGACTGAGCCGATCCAGTACTTCCTTTTACCTGTTCCCCATACTCCCTTCTTAGATACCCGCGCCTAGTAAATGCGCTGTAACATAGAACATGCTGTTATGAAATGAATGCAAAGTTCCCAACCATTGGCTCGATATTACTTCGGTTTAGTTAGCCTATTAATTAATTAATCGTCACAGGGTCCCTGCGCATGGGCCGGGGGTTATATAACCCCACTTTCGTACACACACGGTACGAACACAACTACTACACAGGTCAATACTCACCATTTGATAAGAGTACCAAGAAAATAATAAGAAACAATAAATAACAAAAACATACATGTAGTACCATCTGGTAGCGACTTCGGAAACTAGATTAAGAAGTTTTGGATTTAGTTCCAATTTCCGCCAGGTGGCTACCATTTTTCTGCTACCGTTTAGCGTAATTTCTAACTTAACTACCATGACACGATGTGTACTGTGTACCGATATCTTCATAAATGATGTAATACATACATTCACCCTAGGTAACAACACGATATTCCGTCGACAGGGGGGAACATTGAACTCGGTGCACGCGGGTGTTCCAGTCTCCCTCCCAAAAATCCAGGTACAGAAGGCATATTCGTTTATGGCATCCTTCGGGGACTACGGAAGGCCACATTTCCAGGAATGATGGAACAAGGGGGGGGGGCTAATCACACGCGCGCGTGCCCTGTTTCACTTATTCGACGTAGCTACATATAGGGTGAGCTGGATGTATACACATTTTGATCACCTTACTATCTCTGTTACTTTTAGAGATATCAAAAAAAGTTTATTCACGAAAGTTATCGAGTATTGAAAACATTTTACGAAAACAATACATTATATACACCGCACTTTCTGTGATGAAAAATATACGAGTTAAACGAGACACCGTATGTATCGCGTTTCTTCCTTGCTGGGCGACAGAGTGCGATGCGCGTACACGTAAGTGTGTGTTTCTGTGTGCGACATACGCGTGAACTGGGGGGCGTTTCCAAGATGCAATAAAGGAACCTACATTAATCGAATATGTCTACTTTAACCAAAGAACGGAAAACAACAACTGGCGGGTCAGCTGACGGCGTGTGTCACGTTCGCGTCACAGATAAGCAGCCAGTATACCAGAGGAACCGCGGGATCGACGGTCGGAAGTCAGGAGAGTCGACGCCGCGGCTTCGATATATAAGATGGGAGAGTCGGTGAAAGCTCGGTAGGAGGCTGATGAGGGAGAGACAACTGCGGCGTGTATCACAGGGCGCGTGTGCCAACAGAGCGACCCGTTCAAGGACAAACAGGGAAACGAAGAGAGACACGGCTACCGTGCGATCGTGGGGGTGGACGTGAAGGGGGGACCGCGAGGAGGGGAGAATGGGGGCGTGTCCACGCGACGGTGGCCATGAGACGCGGGTAGGCCTGCGGCGGCCGGTTCCCCTGCAGCGATCGGGGAAATCAACGTGGGGATACGTGGACGCGTCCGACGAGGCATCAGCGGCCGGCCAATCGCGTTGCTACGCGGCACGCTGGGCGACCACGATTACGCGGAGAGCTGGAACGGTGGCCGACCAATGAAACGGGACGACTGCACCGATTGGCAGGGTTCCGCCAATAGCGGTACAGCTCTCCAGCTGGTTATCGTCCGGAGGTTGGCCCCGTTAGTCCCCCCTCCCCGCCGCTAACACCCTCTCCCCACCCCTCCAGTCCAGGCGTTCTCTCACACGCAAAAGGGGACATCTCATCACGACTCTTGGTAGCAGGCACTTCTCCGTAGTGGGCACTCCACTCATCGTGTCGTCGTACGGGTTCTCCGCGAGAGGCTGTGGGGCCCGAGCCCGGGACGAGGCGAGCGAGCGAGCGAGCGAGCGAGCGCGAGCGACCGCTGGTCGAGTGGGTCTAAGCGGCCGTGAGGACCTCTCCAGGAGAACCCGACAGTCCTCTCCATTCATTCATCCATCCATCCATCCATCCAACCATCTATCCACGGGAGCGAACCAGCCAGCCAGCCCAGCCAGCCAGCGAACCATCCATAGAACGCGTTCTCCTCTCCTACGGAGAGAGAGTGTATCCTCGACGAAGGTGGAGGCGAACCCGTAGAGTGGTGTACATCTACCATCGTCTACTCTATCGGCAGAGTCCAAGGACTCGAAGACCCCACGGGTGATTTCAGTCGGCCGCCGGCCGGCTCTGGCCGGCCACTATCCTCGACCACGTGTGTGTGCGCGCGCGCGCGCGACCGTCCGTCCTCCCCCCCGCAAGTTTCTCTATTCCGTGTATCCTACCACCTGTGTGTCGTTTTTTTTTGTCCTCATCCGTTGTGTCTCGTTATCGTCGTGTGTCGTGCGGACCGGTTGTGTTCTTGTCTCTTCGTCGTGTCGCCTATCATACGGACCTCTGGGGCTCTTGTCTATCTCCGAACCCCGAAAAAGAAAACCAAACAAACACTTTGGAGAAGCAGTTGGTTCACGACGTCGAACGTGCGGTCTCTACTTCCGGTTTCATATTTGGGGAAGGGGCGGGGGGTGGGCGGGGGGAGGGAGTGTGTGTGTGGCCCAGTCCAGCGGTACTACTCCAGCCGTTTGTCCTTGACCGTCGTGTGTATACGTAATCAGTGTCGAAGTCCCTTTAACCAGGGGCGACGGTGGTGTTCTTTGACCTTCAACAGAAGTTGAACATCGAAACCGCGACCCGGTTGCCCGTGACAGTTATACGTGATAGACATACATAAGAGACATGCGGCGGATGACGACGTGGTGTGGTGGTGCTCGTCGCTGGTGGCGTCCGACAATAATCGAGTCGTTGCTGTGCACGGAGACAAGTGACGACGACGGTGTTTTTCGTAATCTGTATTATCGTGTCGGTTGATCCCGGGTGTGTCGTTTCGATGAATTAAGTGTACGTCGCGTGAATACCGGGGACATACAGAAAGTGAAGATACAATCAGTGGACATAGAAAAAGTGGAGGATACAGAAAGTGGAGATACACCAAGTGTTTTCGGTTGCCATCTACAGAGGATTATCACCCAGTGTTACCAGGAATGTACAAGGTGCGCGAACGACTGTGACGCGAGGAGAAATCGTTGCGCGCCAAAAGTGTGTCCCGATCCTATTTCCAACCATTCCTCCCCCGTCATCCATCTACCTACAAAACGTCCTGGAAACGAAATATTCCCTAGGACAAAGTCGACAATACCACCCCCCGGACAGTCCTCGTAGCGACCCAATCATTAAACCGTTCCAGATCCCGACGACCACGCGTGGTATAGAGGAGCTGCTCGTCGAGCTCACCGACGCTGCATCAGCTACGACGTCCGGTTACACGCGCACGTACGGTGGGACGTCGTCGACGTCCGCGTCGTCCGCAGCTACGGGTACGTCATGTCGTTATCTAGCGGTTAGCGCCGGCCTCAGGATTCCGCGAAGCGCGAGCTTCAAATACTTCGACGGCGCTGGCCTCGCCGAAATGAGCGGTGGCAGCGGCGGCGGCGGCGGAAACAACGCCGGTAATCAGGGTAACGGGACAGCGAATAACTACCATCAGCATCAGCAACAGCAACAGCAGCAGCAACAGCAACAACAGCAACAACAACAACAGACACAGCTGGAGCAGGCAAGCTTGCTACCAGATTTGAATGGGATTGACCTGGCGATGAGCTTGTCCCCCAAACAGCATTCTTCCCACGTACAAACAGCTGGCGGCGCTCATACGACACCGTTCAGCGTCACCGATATTCTTTCGCCGATCGACGAATCCTATCGTAAGCTCGAACTAGCGATTGGCGTCGGCGTGGTCACCCATCCCCAGGTCTCTCCGTACGGCAACGCTTGTGGTGGCGCGGTCAGCGGACGTGTCGGCGGCAATACCGGTAGTTCGAGCGCGAGCAGCGGCAGTCCACCGCTTCACGGAGGTTCCACGCCGGGCGGTGGTACACCGGGACCGGTATCGGGCGCGAACGACGCCACCGGTGGTCCTGGTGGCGGTGGTGTAAGCAGCGGCGCACCGGGCGCCGGGATGACCGCGATGGGGAATCCATACGCGGCGATGCAATTGACGTCGCAGTATCAGTATTGCGCGGCGGAATTATCGCCGTATCATCATGCTGGGCCAGCGGTTGGCGGCGGGGCGACCGCCACCGATCCGATGAGGTCGCATCATCCTTGGTACGCGCCGGCACCCCCGGCAACCAACGACCCACGATTCGCCAGTGAGTATTCCAGCGCCGTTTTGTCGAAGGAACTTGCAGGTTGAGGCTGGAAGATGATACCAGCTTCCTGTGGGGATTGAGAGCTGATCAGGGAAGGGAAAATAAATTTGTAGAGGATGGTGGAACTTTGGTCCTTTGGAGCAATGGATGGCTTCGGAGGTCTGGAGGCTTATTTTTGTTGAGGGGTAACTTTTAAGAATGTAGGACTAACTGATTTACCTAGGCGAGGTGTGTAGTTAGAGGGTTGATTGAGACGTAAGGTGATATAGGAAGAAGTTAATCAAGTTATGTCAGGACTGAGATGTTCTTTGGGGATCTGAGCATAGACGTATTATAGTTTTTCCTCGTCTAACGAGCCGAGTCAGTAACTGTAAAGAAAGGGAGGCTATGATCGCGTAGGTGGGACAGGGACAGTGGCCAGTCAGTAGCTGGACTTAATTTGGGTGTATAGTCCTAGGGTTGATTGAGACATAAAGGTATTTCTTACACCTAAGCAGGGATCGTTAATTGAGTAAAAATCGTAGATTGTGACTCATCTGATTGTACCGTCAATCGTTAGAGGGAATTAGGCTTCTTTTGTTCTTGGTCCGAAATGGGTAGCTGATTCGAGACGAGGGATATACACTTTGCACGGCCACTAGGCTAGTATTGACCTACCCTTTATTGACCGTCGGAGCAGAACCTTTCTTTATAGCTACTGGATTTACTCATCTCACTGTGTCCCTTACTTTCGACTACAAGCAGGGGGGTTACGTTCAAGCTGGGAGGAATACTTTGATTGTCGAAGGAACCGTCTGTCCGCTGACGAAATACAAGAGAGAGAGAGACCTGCCTTCCAGACCTGGTTATTGAAACGACATTATTCAAAATATTATTTCAAATAACATGTTATTTTATTTCATAATAATGTCGATTGCGTCTGAAATAACATTTTGCCAAATATTATTTCAAATAACGTGCTATTTTATTTGTAATTATTTGAAATAATTCTTAGAAATAATGGTGAAATTGTTTTTCGCAATTACATCGGGTGACTAGGTCAGAAGTTTGTTTTATTGGCATTTCTCTGAAGAAGTAACTCTTTCATTTTCCACCCAAGTAGAACGATTATTTTCGTTCGCGACAATATTAGATAGACCCAAGTAAAAATCACTCACGGACGAGCTTTTCAAAGAGCGGATTCTGCTTAAAGCGAATTCCTGTATTTGAAGATTCCTAAAAATAAACTATTTTGTTGCACATTATTCCGAGTATTATTTCTCTAGTCGAATTTAAAATACAAAAATAACAAAATAATTCATTATTGGAAATCGCTATTATTTCAAAGGAATCGATAATATTTTTCTTTTCAAATAACAAATATTCAAAACAAAATTCCCGAATAAATTATTTCAAATAATTACTTCTTATTTTCATTTCAAATAACATTTACCCAGGTCTGCAATGCCTCGTCCGTTGAAAATGCGTGTCGAGAAGAGAGAAAGTAAGGAAACGTAGTCGGCGAAGAGCAAATATGCCAGTGGACAGAGATCATCCCTTTCGTCTTCGCCTAGGCACGTCTGCCCTCCCCCCCTTTTATCGTGCTCCCGGTCGACGAAGTCACAGGCTCCATTTAGGTATCGATGAAGTGTCCGGGCTCGTGTTTCAAAGTCCACAACAGGGCTCTCTCTTTCCTCGTTTCGTGTCGTAAGATCGTAACACAGAGCCTCATGAATTCTCCCGTCGCTTCCTATGGAACGTGTCTCACGATGGCCCTCTGTTATTCTTTCGTGTGTAGACACATTACTCCTGGTGTTCGATTTTACTGGGACCTGTTCGTCCAACAAAACCTCCAGCGATACAACGTTGGCGCGTATTACAGTAAATCCTCGATGAGTGTCCAAAGGCTCCTCTGCACTGACTAGGAGAGGTCCCCTGGTGTTACGCTGACTTCTTAATGAGATTTCGCAAGAGTGATAGAGCTTGGAATTCTGAAACCAATGAGATTTGTTTTTGAAATATTTAATGCTCAGTACCGAGAAGCCTTCGAACATTCATCGAGGATTTACTGTACCTCTCGGAGCGACTCATCGAAGTGATACGTCTCAGAGGGGCAGGCACACGATTCCTCGAAGATCGGAACGCGTTGTCGCGAGCTGTGCTCCCGAAAAAAGATTGTGGGCCAACAAAAGCCGTTCCGTGTCCTTGGAGGGGTGGTTTCTGTCAACACGGCCGGACGTGGAGGACACGTTTCCTTGGATTTCTGTCCGTAGCACGCGCCACCGCCGCCTCCCCGACCCGTATCGATCCCTCTTCGACATCGACAATGCCCCCGGCTACCGGACACTACCGGAGGATTTTAGTTAAACAAATAAGCCCCCTCCCCCTACCCTCTCCTTGGACCCTCGTACGACGTCGGGGCTTAACGTGAATCGTATTCGAACGTCGGACCTTTCCACGAATTCAATTTCTCGCGAAGGCGAAGAGGATTCAGAGCGCGGAAGTCGTTTCGATCTCCCGACAAAAATTGACATTTCCGAGTCACGAATATATGCACCGCCGCGCGGCATACACTATAAAACCACCCGAAAATGTGCAATGCTTGCGTATCGTTCAAACGAAAAGCGAACCAAGTGATGTCATGTCTGAAATCGTGTCGAGAAATACATAATTCTTTAGTGTATAACTAACATAAATCTTCAAAATATATTCATTAAATTTTCATTACAGTCTCGGATAAAAGATATTGGAAGAAACGACCTTTTCCGAACAATTGCAACTTTCTTAACATTTGTTCTTACACGTTATTTAGTAAATTAATTTTTTTACCTGCACAAAAACAGTCAAGTCAATTGGTCTAATTTTAAAAAAGTTATTCTGTTTCGTAGGGTGTGCGAATATTTTTTCTACCCATTGCAAGTCAATGTGTTTTTTTTGTTTTTTTGAGGAATTTGTATCTGACCATTTGAGATCTGTGAAATTTCGATTCCGGGCCGATCTACGTGTTTCTTTGTAACGCCAGAATCGGAACACAAAGCGGTTTGTCCGTCACACATCGCGATACCACATAATTATCCGGTCAATTCGAGGATTCTTCTCGAGCGCGGGGGAGGGTTCATCGCCACGCCGCCGGTGGCCAGGTAGACACGTCTTTCACGAACGTCCAATTATGCTTAACGAGAACCCCTGTGCACGGGAGTCCAACCCCGCCTCCCCGCCCCCTGGGTCCAGCCTCCTCCTGTTCGCAGAAGTTACATCGAACACCGTGTTTCGACCCGTCACTCCTCGTCGACTTCCATTGTACTGGATGCCACCAGTTGGGGATGCTTGATTCAATTCAAAAAATCGATTCTCGAATCTACTGTCGAATCGAATCATAAGAATCGAGGCTCTTAAAAAATTGAAATCAAAGAATCGATCTAAAATCATATATCGTGACCTTATTTAATTTACAGGAGCCGCGGAATTATTTAGGAAAATGTATTTATTTTGAGTGCTTTGGGTGACACTAAAATGCAAAATTAGCCCAAATGTGGAGTTTGCGAGGTTTACCTAGGATTATTGAAATCATAGTAGTACTTTACGCGAAATTTACATTGGCATCTAATTTTCTATACATTTTATGTGATACTACATCACGTTAAATTGTACTATATATTACTATATTATACAATTTAATTTAATATACATTCGATGCTGGTAGTTCTAGTGTTGAAAGAGTTCCATACCATATTCGATCCCTGGTCAAACACAGTTACGAACTCAGGCGACAAGTGCATCGGAGCCTCCGACCGTGTCGCATCATCCACCCTTCACTGAACAGAACGACCAAAAATTAAAAGACCACCCCCTCGAAAAATGTTCTTCCCTCGACGTCAACTCTGTCCCGCTAACCATCTCTACCGGGTGGTCCCCACTTTAGGTGTCTTCCATTCAGAATGTCTTATCAATTTTTCCAAGGAATGTTACGCAAACCGAGGAGTCGGGGTGGGGGTAAACAAATTCGGGGCGGGACGATGTTTGCTTCCGACGCCCTCGAGCACGTACACGATCACGTCTCTCCCGAAGGGGCCAGTCTGACAGGGTCCACGAAGTACGTTCTCGTAGCGCATATAATAATAATAATGATAATAATAATTCGGGGGCCCTCATCGTCGGACCTCCCGTGCTCGATGACGCGGCGGTTCGCAAAGGCTAAATCGCTCCTTTTGTCCCTGGTTGGGCCCCTCTGCCCCTCCCCTCTTTTCCCCACCTTCGACACACGAGCGCCGTTTTCTTGACAGGCCCTCTCGCCAACTGACATGGGGATGGGCCCCGAGAAAGACATCGTCTGGTTTCAGTAGCTCGAATCCACAGAGGCCTTTACCTAACCATCATCCGTGTCCGCGACGGTCAGAAGTTGAGATGCTGCTGCCCTTCGCGGAACGATCCCCGTCTCGTTTTGTTCCGCCTTTTCCTCTTCTCTTCGCACGATCTCCTCGTCTTGTCCTTCCTCCCTTCTTCCCCCTCCTTGTTCCCTTTCACGATCAATTATTTCGAGGAGAGATAGAAGGGGAATGGGGTCTTGGAGAATGCGGATGTTCAACGCCTCACCGACGTTGATTGAATGCTTGCGTGCTCGAGGAGCCGCGTAGGACAGCCGTTTTAATTGTCGATGGGATCTCTTGTATCGGTAATGACTGGGAACTGGTTGATAATGTCTGCTGGAAACGTGTCTATCCTTGTGTGGTGGGCCTCGATGGGATAGGCGGAATTTAACTGGTGTGCGTCCGGGCTTGAGGCTAGATTCATCGAAGGTGTTTCTATGTTTTCTTGTCACGTTGGTGAATGGGACTGGAGTGTGAATATAGTAAGTGGTGGAGAAATTGTTGGAAATATACAAATCGACCAATTAACGAACTTCTTCGGTTATATATTTCCAGTAAAAGTTGCGAAGAATCGTAGGATATAGGCGTTGCTACGATACTCCAATTATTTGTATGAGGGTGAGACGAACCTGGCATTCCGACTGCTTTAGTAGTTATAGTGTTAAAGGGATCGCTTCATATAGTATACTATTTTAATTCTAGATCGAAACTTCGAGGGGTGGTGTCACCCTTTAAAGTCGCGTCACAGCCGATACAAGAAAATACGTATCCCTTATTTTTCACTGCTTAACAGAAATACGAAGTTTCATCAGAATCGGAGGGGGACACTTTCCTGCCTTCCCTTGTTAGATCAGTTTCGTATTCACCGACACAGGTCCTAATAGTTATGAGCGATAGCGTATCATTTCGATGGCTATGGTAAGCTGCGTATCCACTAATCCGTATTTTCCCCAATATGTTTTGCAGTCTCGCGGTTGATGAGCGCCGCGGGGGCGGGCGCCGGGACCAACATGGCCGGCTGCTCGGTGGGCCAGTCAATGGGCGACGTGACGAAATCGTCCGGCATGGGAATGGGCGTCGGCGTCGGCGTCGGTGTCGGCATGGGCGTCGGCGCGATGCAATTCCCCCACCTGCCGCAGAGGCGAAAGCGTCGCGTTCTGTTCACCCAACAGCAGGTCCACGAGCTTGAGAGGCGGTTTAAGCAGCAGAAATACCTGAGCGCACCGGAACGGGAACACCTAGCCTCCCTGATCAACCTAACGCCCACTCAGGTATGTACCCACGCGTTCTTAGACGATTGCTCCCCATTTTCGATGAGTGACTTTCGCTGGAATATGATTTTGCGTTCTTCAGGTCTCAGGTCGAGACGGATCCGTCGGGGAATAGGGACAACGACGACGATGGCGGTGGGTAACTGAACCGATAGGTATTGATACGACCTATTCAAACAATTCGATACCAAATATATTGGATAGGAAGGTATCGAAATTGTAGGTACTTGGTACGAATTTTCGATACCGTACTAGACAGACCAAGCAGCAGCAGCAGCTCGGCTAATTAGAAAGGCTGCTGACTGCTTCAATCCTCAGATCAATCCCTCCCCGAGTGGATCGCGTCCGGCGGCTGGTTCCTTCCTTCCAGTCCACGAAGAAGAGAGCTCACACCGGTGTTTCGAGACGGTGCGCGCGCGCGAGCAGAGATTGGGGGGTGGGGAACGCGCGCAGGTAAAGCGCCGCGGCGTGTGCACACGAACGAGGATTAATTGCCGAGAGAGAGGAGGATTAATTGCAGGGAGCGGGCGGTGGGTGGGTGGGTTGTACGCGTGCCTCTCTCTGTATCCACACGTCTCGCGGCCAATCGGATCGATCGGTTCTCCGGGGCGTTGGTTGCTTCGGAGTCGTTAGCCGGAAATGTCGGAGGGGGGTGGGGAGGGTGGGGGCGTTCGATTATCGTTGAAAACCACGGGGTTTGCGTGGAATATTAACCCTTCGAGCACACGCTCCAGCACGACCTCTCCCTGACCCCGTGGAGATCGCTTGGATCACCATGGAAACAAGTAAGGTTTCGCGTCGGTGACTTTTACGGATGTATTACATTATGAAGTGTAACCTGGAGTGGGTAAAAAATAAGTATTCACACGCTCTTTAAAGCAGAACAACTTTTTCAAAATTGGTCCAAGTGATGTGAGTTCTTTTGCGAAGTTCGAAAGATTAGTTTACTAAATGATCTTTTCAATGAACGTTTCAGCACGTATGTAACTGAATCTTGGAAATGTGATTATTAAATTTTCAGTTTCCTAACTCTGGAGTAACGATTTATGGGTCTGGCCGTTAAAGGGTTAAAAATGTATGGAAATGCAGTTATTGTGAAATTTCGTGCTTGTAACAATTAATATTCACCGGTAACAAAAATTCGATGGAATGCAAATCGATGCTTGGACACAATTCGTTCGTTGAATAGAGTTGGAATATATTTTCCTGGGTCCTAAGATTGTCTCGAACTTCTGAATAAGGAAATCCGATAATCGAATGACGATGTGAAATTACTAGTCGAGTGTATACCGCCGGGAGCCAATTCGCTAAATATAGCCATGGTCCAACGAGTGTGTTCGATCATTGTCGATGAAGGGGGGGAAGAGAAAGATAGAGAATTTCGGGTTCTTGAGACAATATTTGCGTGTCGTTCGGCTGGAACGTACGGCGTCGACGTGCCAGGAGTTCTACCTGGTCGAATTCCGTCTGTTCCCCCCGTGTCCTCACGAACAAACATCACCGTCTCGAGGACTATTCCTAACGCACCCGGACACACCGTCGCCGCACGATTTGCTTAACACTTTTGGTAGTACAGGCCGCGTTTCGAGGACGTGTCGGTGATCGCGTCGCTACGAAAAATGCCCGATGACACCTACCTACTTCCCTCCGACGTTATACACACACCAGTACGATAGTATTCCGTGGTCTTTCGAAAATATATTTAGAGAAAATGGTACTGGTCATCTTAAAAATCTGTATGCTCCGTTAAATATAAACAAACCAGCAACGAAATGGATTATTTAGACTGGATAGATTGATAGAAAATTTCATTAGGAAGAATTTAAAAGAAAAAAGCTTCAAATTCTATTCAAAAATAGACTGATTTGAAAAAAGATAAGTCATTATGTACCATTGTGCGGCGGCCATTTAAAACGGGCCCGGCCAGAATCAGATTTTAACGAGCGATCTTCATTGGGCAGACAGGTCTGCCTGGCGGCGAGAGTACACGGCGCGCGGGCCCGGCAACAATAAATAATTGTTGCGCGGCTCATTGGTAGCATCCTGGTCGCTCGTGTTCCCCCTCGTTTCAGTCTGCCGTTCCGTCTGCACACCGTCTCTTCGTTCAATCCGCTCGTCGTCGACGTGCATACCGTTATCTAGCTCGCGCAAACCCGGCCACTGCAATAATGCCCGCCCAGATTCGAATGTGTACAACTCCATCGTTAGGGACGATTGTTGACGGATCCCAAAAGTGGAGCCTCTTCGTCGTTACATGTATACCCACCGTAAGTTGGGGGGTAACTTTTTACTCAGTCAGGAGTAACCTTCTCCCAAAGTCAGAAAAAGATCATTTTTAATTTTCCTGCTCTTTTGCAAGTGTTTTTTTTCACATGAAATATCTTGTCGAGAAAAAAAGGTATAGTAGAATGCGGGGGTCAAAAGTACTTTTAGACTGATTTGAGTCTAGGATACGCCATTGGATAGTTTATCTATAAAAAATTAGCCGGACCAAGTTTCAACCCTCTATCTCAACCAGGAGGGTAGTAACAAGGAAAATTCGGTTTACCGGGTTTTCCTCTGTTCTCCATATTGCGTGGTACGCAAAAATTCTCTCGTTATGCACGATCACGTGGAGGTGCGAAGTGGAGGGGAGGGGGCAGTCGGTTCCGTAACGGAAGGAGGAACGGTGGTTGCGCTCCCTAAACCGGAAGTCGTCGTCGCTCGGCCTCCGGAAGTCTCGGGGGCGTCGGTGTCGGCCGCGGAAGTCCGCAAAGAGGTCTGATTGCAATCAGCACGCGGTTTTCTCGCGTGGCTTGCCTCCCCTCACCCCTCCCACGATGCCAGATGGCGCATAAGTTCCGATAACGAGTTTCAGGCTCGATGGCACTCCGGGAGCCCGTGAATGCTGGCCACGAAGGCCGGCCTCGGAATCGGGACGTGGAAGAAGATAGAAAGAGAATTTTCGTCGGGGAAAAGGGAGATGAGAAATGGGCGATAGAGAGAGAGAGAGAGAGAGAGAGCGAAAGAGACCGACCGACAGTTGATCGTTCCCTATACAGGGTGTTCCATTTAAATCTATCGACTCGAATATCGTCGAGCATGTTGAGATTGAAAAATATTTCAGACGAGGGTTAAATGGTATCAGGAGGCACACTTTCTGATTTAGTAACTTTTGTCTATGTGGACGCGTAGAGGTCATTTGAAGGTCAACTTGGTTTTCTTCTTTTGGAATCGTATATTTTTTTATGCACTACTTGATACTATTCGTTATTCCGTATGTAAAGTTTTGAAAGGAACCCCATTGAAAGGAGGACAGTTGACCTTCATATGACCTCTACGCGTCCAAGTAGAAAAAAGTTACATCTCAAAGTGTAAATCCCCTGATACCATTTAACGATTGCCAGAAACTTTTTTAATATTATAAAAGTTTCGGTGATATTCGAATAGGTCGATTTAAACGAGACACCCTGTATTCATATACACACACTAAACCGTGTCTCCTTCTGTGTGTGTTGTGTGTGGGTATCGTGGACTCTTGAACTTCAGAGGACAAATAGAGACCAAACGAGCTCCCGTGTACACGCGTGTGCATATGTATGCCTCTATGTGTGTGCGCGCGTGTGTGTGCTCGGGGGCACACCGCCACCCTGCGGTACCATCCACTTACGACCACTCGAAGTGCATATACTACGTACGAAGTCGGGCCACTCTGGGTAGCCCCCGCCACGAGGAGACTAACGAATCATTATGCGAAGAGAACCCCCGGAGACGGCTGAATCTTAGCTTGCCCCTCTCGAGAGGACCGATACGACTGGAGATCGAGGAAGGGGGAGGGGCCAGGCGGATGCAGGAGCGTGAACTGGATGGAAATGGGTTCGTGGCTACCACGTGGTGTCTGGGAAATCGATGCACTTTTGCGATACGATTAATCATTTTTCAACACGATTTCAGACATGGCATGCACTTGGTTCGTTTTTGTTTTAACTGCAATACATAAGAATTGAAGATTTTAAGGTGGTTTCATAGTAACGTAAAGGTGCGTGTCCACTTGTTGCGTATCCTTGTATCGTAACACCGTTTTGTATCAATGTGGGCGGTGGCAAGCGTTGCATTGTTGCGTGTGAAAGTGTATCGTATGGTGATATGATACGATACGATGTTACGATACGATGATACGATACGATGATACTGGCAATTGTTCTGGAACATAACCGTGGTGTTGCACACGGTTTTGGGGTCACCTGTACTAGACTAAAAGTTGCTCCATCCACGGTTGTTAAAAAAAATGTCAGGGAAAACGGGAATCAAGCGAAACGAGCCTCGTAGTCTTTCACCGTTAATTGACAAGCCAGCCGATCAACGATCGTCGTCGGGCGAAAAATTCGCGAGGAAACGGTACCCGAAAACGGCGACGAATCTCCATTAAACGAGGCTGATGGCGGAGCACAAGGTTTCCCCGAATCGCGGGAAAAGGCTGTTGCCGGCTCGACGATCCTCGAGGGAAATTCTTCAGAACGGAGGAATGGGGGAGTGGGGGTGGTACGAAACGATCGAGAATCGATACCGAATTAACGAGTGGCGCGAAGAGCATCGACGTAACGAAACGGTGGAAGATACACACCTATCGGCGCTCTTCAAGACACTCGACACCACGAGCCTCGAGTTCGACGCGAGCGCGCTCTCGAGGGCTTGTAAAGGATCGAGGGACGCCCTCCCGAAAAAAAGAATCGAACGGGGGGTAGCGATCGACGGAAGAAAAAGAAGAAAAAAAGGGGCAATTTTTCGCCTATCGTTCGGCCCGATCGAGGCCTAGCCAAAAGTGCCGCATCGACCGTTTCCGAGGCGAACACGTCACCGAAAAATCGACCCCGTTTCGGTGTATAACGAGCAGAGTTCTCACTCTCTCTCTTCGGAGAGAGGAACGATCGTCGAGAGCACAGATTTCTTTCCGCTCGTTGAGATCTAAAACACGCTTCTGTTACCGTTCGCGAGAGGTCGATCATGTGAAATATCGCGAA